TGTTCGATGACTCCGGGAGGGGAGCATACATGAGCGTTCACGTCAAGTTGACCCCAAACAAGAAACTTCGGGATGTAAGGGATGATTTTGAAAAGTCTTTGAATCCAAAAGTTGAGATGAAATCCTCAGAACCCAAAAGAATGTATGCAGTGAAGTCGAAGCCCCAGCCAAAGGTCTTGACGCCCAAGTTGGAACAGGATGATTCCGATTCTTATGAATATGACTATGAGTATTCTCCCACTGGTTTCATGGCCGTGCGTTTTGATCCCAACGTTGATTTGACAGTCCATCCTGATGAGAGGAGGACTATGAGCAAGAAACACAGGAAGATGGTATTGGAAGGTATCAACAATCTCAACAACCATGATCGTGTGATGCAATCCAGTCTTGGGATGCAGCCTCAAATTTCCAATGGAACTTCAGGGGTTGCAGTCATCACGTCACACCCGACTCTTTTCCAGGATCTTTTTGAGCACACCTATGACGTCGGTGTGAATGCCGCGTATTTGGACGGCGATGCTGAGCCACGTGGTTGGAGTGACATGTTCGAAGGTTGCACATTGATCATTGTTGCAATTGAGTACAGTTCAGAACATTATCCACTGTGTCATGGGGATCTTGTATTTGAGTTGGAACAGTATTGTGATGCCACAGGGTGTAGATTTCTCATTGTTGATGTCGCGCACACTGAACGATGGGAATCATTCAAAACACCACAGATTCCATATATCAACGAAGTTGGTCTTGCTTTTGTGTCAAATGATGATGAACTCATTCAAGGTTTTCAAGACTGGTCTATGTATCGACAATTGGATGACGTTTTGAATTGGGAGTTTTGTCAATGGATTCGTGATTGGTCACTTGAGCGTGAATTGGAGGATCAGATGAGCGTTGCTTTCCCAGCAGAGATCATTGAAGAGGCTCAGGAACATGGTGGGAACTGGGATGCAGTCGATGGCCCAGAAGATGTTGCACTGCAGGATCCGGTTGAGGACCTGACACATGAAGAGACTCTTTTAGATGATGTTGATATCCCTGGTTTGCCAGAGGATGAATCAGAAAGACGTAGGTCTTGGCGTAAACTTCCCCAGCGTGTCAGGATTGCTGTGCGTAGGTTGCACAGGGCTTTTGGACACGTCCCCAAGTCGGTGATGGTCAATTTGGTGCGTGCTGCAAAGGTGAGCAAGGAGTTTGTTGATGCAGTAAAGTTGCATAGATGTGAAACATGTGAGAAAACATCAGCAAAGAAACCCACTCACAAAGTTACGCTTCCAAGTGATTATACATTCAACCATACTTTGGGGATTGATGTACTGGAGTTGACAGATGTAACTGGGCAGAAGTATCAAGTTCTCAACATGGTTTGTATTGGCACTTGTTTTCAACAGGCTGAAGTTATGAAGGTTGGAGCAGGTCAAGCTTCTTCGCGATCCTGTTTGGACGCACTTATCAAACGTTGGTTCAGTTGGGCAGGACATCCTGTTGCTATCATGTGTGACCGTGGTTTGCACAATCGTGGTGTCTTACAACAATACATGGATGAACATAACATTCAAGTGCACCATGTGCCCCTTGAGAGCCCGGAATCATTGGGCCGAGTAGAGAGGCATGGTGGTTTGTTGAAGGCTCTTTGCAGGCGAGTGTGTACAGAAGTTGGGGCTTGTACCAAAGAACAGGTTGAGTCGTGCATCACACAGGTGCTCAGTGTGAAGAACGACTCTGCACGTGTTGGAGGTTTTTCTCCATCTCAGTGGGTGCTTGGTCGAGCTCCCCGTGGTGCAGCTTCACTCATGTCAGAGGAAGATCACGCACAGCTCGGAGCCATTCAGGCCCGACATGACCCTTCATCAATTTTTGCATTACAACATTTGGCCAGGATTGAGGCACAAAAGGCTTTTGTTCACCTTGATTGTTCAAGAAGAGTTCAGAGAGCGTTGACACGCAATGCCAGTGTGTTTGACCGTGAGTTCAACATTGGTGATTTCGTCACTTTCAGACGAGACAATCAGCGAGGAGGAACGTCCTGGTCACCAACGTGTCGTGTGATCGGACACGAGAACCAGAAGAACATATGGTTACTATGTGGTAACGTTCCGGTACTTGTAGCTTCTCACAACATACGCATTGCTTCTCCTTCTGAGGCTCTTGCTCAATCAGTGTTGAATGGTGAACCTGTGATTCCATACAAGATCATCAATGATACAGGTCAACAAGCATTTCTTGATGCAAGACAATCCGATGAGGTTGAAGTTGTTCGTGATGGTCCAGGACAATCAGACGATGTTGAAGTTGTCCATGAGGACAATGTGGATTCAGCACTCCCTCCTATACCAGAAGTATCTGAAGATGAATGGGACATACGACCCGGTTTCTTTGAAGAAGGTGAAGAGGAGGAAGACACTGGTCCTATGGAAGAAGACATCTTTTCACAGAGTAGAACTCCAGAAAGAAGAGTTGAAAGACCACGTCCAGGAGATGAAGATCATGAACGCAACGTGAGACCTCAAGTAGAGTCTCACTTACAACCTGAGTCGGAGAGAGGCTCATCACTTGTGCCATCTCGAAGAGACTCCTTTGTGCCTGATCTTACTCCAAGTGGCTCCGTTTTGGGACCACTATCCTCGCCGTCAGCATCATCTTGGCCATTACGAAGAGAACTTTTGAATGACTTGCCTCATCAATTGCGAACACATCTTGAAAGAGCTCGTGAGAGAGACTCAGAACGAAGTCCTGAAGAACAACAAGAAGCACGAGCATTGTTTGCATCATTTTTGTCCCAGGAAGTTGAAGTCCCTGAGGACGAAGAGCAAGGTAAGAAAGTGTTGAAATCAATCCACTATGAATCAGCGTCACCTGATGTACAGAAGAACATCATGGATGCCAGAACCAAGGAGTGGAGCAAGTTCCTTGAGTTCGCTGCTGTTGTTGAAATTTCAAAAGAAGATGCTGAGAGGTTGATTGCTGAAGGACATCAATGTATTCCTAGCAAGTGGGTTGATGTTGACAAGAATCAGTTCATGAAAGGAAGATCAGATCAAGAATATGTGCCAAAGTTCAAGAGCCGGTTGGTATCATGCGGCGATTTCGAAGTCAGTGAAGGTTTGAGATCAGACAGTCCTACAGCAGATACGGAGAAGCTCACAACATTCTTTGCTGTTGGGCGGCGATCCAGGGCGCACAATTGCACAGTGCGGACGTCGCATCCGCATATTTCCAAGGTCGTCCTCTTGATAGAGTTCTCATTATGAGACAACCCCGAGGAGGTCTCCCGGGAGTTGATCCAGAGGTGTTTTTCCTTGTGCGGGTGCCTATATATGGATTGACTGACAGCGGTCGAGGTTTTTGGTTGAGGTTGGACGGAGATGCCCGATCCAGTGGCTTGAAACAATCCAAGTTTTACCCAGGATTGTATTTCCTTCCAGGAACCGACAAAGATTGCGTTGCACTTATGGCGACACATGTGGATGACATCTTGTACGCATACATTCCTGAGGGAAAGTCAGTGATCGACAGCTTCTTGGAGAAGTTCAACTTGGGATCAAGTGAATCAAATTCGTTTCGCTATTGTGGCAAGCAATTTGAGCGTACTGCAGATGGAACAATCACACAAGACACTTGTGACAACACCCGTCGCATCAAGCCGATCAAGATCGCGCCAGGAAGATCAGCGTCCGAGCCGTTGGGTAAGGATGATGTGACCCGATTACGATCTGTAACGGGATCATTGGCATGGGTGGCAAGGCAGACTAGACCCGATTTGGGTTATCGTGTGAGCCGCCTACAGTCCAGTATTTCTGGAGCGACAGTTGCTATTTTGCACGACGCAAATGCCGTAGTACAGCTGGCACAACAAGGCATTGAGAACAAGCTCATTTTTCCAGGTGGACATCTAACCTGGGGAGAGGTTGGTATCATTACAGTAACAGATGCTTCATTTTCAAACGAGAAGAACTACAAATCACAACAAGGACGTTTCCATTTTCTTGGAGACATCAATGAGATCAAAGACCCCAAGACTACATCCTACAGGGTGATGCCATTGGGATTTGCATCAAATACAATTCGGCGAGTATGCCGCAGCACTCTTCAATGCGAGGCTTATTCACTGCAGGCCGGACAAGAGAGCGGTGACAAGCTACGTGGAGCATTGGCCGAACTGATGGGCCAACTTGACTCGATGAAAACATGGTTGGATGACAGCCGCAGCTTTATTCCACAACTGATGCTTTCAGACTGCAGGTCTCTAACAGACCATCTTGCGAATGAGGTACTCGGCAGGGTCGCAGACAAACGACTCGGCATTGAGTTGCAGTCGATTCATGAGTCACTTTGGCAAGACGGCCGGAGGACCTGGGATATGCATCATGGCGGAGGAGACATTGTTACCTGGATTGCTACAGGAACTATGGTCTCGGATGCTCTGACCAAGAGCATGCGCCCGGACCTCATTATCCGCGTCTTGAAGGAGTGCATTTATCGTGTACAGAAGAAGCCTTAGAGCCAACTTTTTCACTAGCATCATGTGATCCTTGAAGAACAGGTTGAGTGTGAGTTTGACCTGTCTAATGTATATTTTGTATAGCCAAGTGATCACATGCCCCGTTGACATTTGGCTTTAGGGCCCTTGAGTCATACCGCGCTGCCGTGGTAAAAGTTGGGCATTTGACGATCCCGTTTCCAATTCATACATGTATATACATGGTGATGCCTGTGATGCCTCATGTTATGAATTAAAGAATGAGACCCAGGCTGGTTGGTACCCCCACAATCTCGGTAGTCGTTTCGTCCCATCATACCTGAGATCATGATCCCAATTCAATGTTGCGGATTGGCGATCGGTTGGACCTCCATTTATATATGTATATATATACACACATATATACCATAATGTATAGCTTATAAGCATATATAAACATTCATAAACTACATCAAAGATACTGTAGATCTATACATCTACCCGACTTGTAGATCTATACATCTACGACGACATCGGTCACCAGGCTACCATGAGGTGGTCCACGATCACTTCAACAATCCCCGAAACGTTGGTAGCCTTGACAAGGAGGACCCGGCCGTGGCTCTGATTGTTGAATTGGTTGTCCCAAGGGAGGTGAAATTCCGAAGAATGTTCAACACTGTTCAAGAAATTCGGTGCACAAAATGTTTAAGATATTATATCTAAAAAAGACACTCGGTTCACAAAAAGAACATATATTGATAGCTCGGACAGATTTGCAGGCTGCATCGCACAGCAAGCCAGTGCGCATTGAACTCAAAACATGCATATCAGAAGTCATCCAACTTTTTCGAAATGCAACTAGCTTACTTCGCGGTTCAAAGGCGTTTTAATTTCATCGAATTCTGCCCAACTTCGAGCGGCGACAGGACAGCAATGTGGGCTCGGCGTTGGTTGGCAAAGCCTCTTGCGGAGATGTTATCAAGCTCCAGGTGGGCAAGTCCCTTTACCAAAGTTCGGGAGTTGGTCAATTTAATGTCCTGTTTACATCTGTTTACCAAAGTTGGATTTGTTTTGGGGGATTTTCAGCATCACTTTAAAGTATCTATTGGAGATTCATTGGAGATGCAATGATTCTATGGCATATGATTTTCCTCTTAGGTGGGTGAGAAAATAGGAGATTTGCCAACCCCTGAAGTTGGCCATGTTGGGGATGTCCCAGTTTGTTGGGGGCCACGGTAACTCTTGTGGTGCTTAGTGAATGGGCAGGTGAAAGTAAAGGATGGCGTCATTCAGGACAGCGGTGATCAGCGGTGTGCTGGTGTCGAGATGTGAATACCCCTGTGACTAGGACGATAGTTGTTATGGAATGTTACCCTCTGGTAAACATACAAAAAACTATGGAAAATCATAATTGTTCATGGGAAAATCCACTATTTCTATGGGCATTTTCAATAGCTATGTTAAATTACCAGAAGGTATGGAAAAATGATATGTTGATATGATGGTGCTCCTACATTTTTGTTGCTCAAATATCAGCATGTTCGGTTAATTTCTGAAAAATATATGTTGTAACAGTTGTATAAAAATTGTCCAAACTGCGCATCTTTGTTTTGGATCTTCAGTTCTTGTAGCCCATTCTCGCCTCCATGGACTCCATGGGAACATATCGTTGGATCCTGCCACCCAACGCATGGCAGTTTGAAACTTTCCGAAAGATCGAATTGGTTATCTCCCCATGACAAGGATATCAATTATTGTATTTAAATGTATTTAAATGTAGTTAGGATTATTTAATTGTGTCCTATATTTTGCAATCTTGGGTGCGTTGAGTGACGATATCCCGCGTTGATTGGCTGAATCCCCACTTGATTCATAGTTTGTTCCCTCACATATCCATGTGGGTTGTATGATCCCAATGCATACCCAACTTGTTCTGGATGACAACATGTGTTGTCATATGCTGTATTATTCATTACAGCTATTACGAACGTACATAGCATCATATTGCTATTCATTGCTATACAACTACATGTAGACGGAGATATATAAAGACGAACCATTCCCCATTTATTAAAGGAATGAACTTATTGACATGTATTTCACGGAACTGAATGTGACAATTCACAGGGACCCCCTAGAATTATTGTTATTTTTGCCACGGTTTCCAGAAGGGTTCCGACAAAAAAACAATCCATAGATTCAAAAATGGTTGAATAAACCCCAAATTATATCCCCTTAAATATCCGCATAGATATGCCGATATTTCCCACATAGCAACCCTCAGTCATAGTAGAAGTCGAACACCTGGAAATATGAGGTATATATCATCGAACTACCATCCATGTTCCACACTTTTCGGCATCTTTTTCAGGGTTGCTACGGGCCATTAATGTCCCCATGTTGTTAGTGATATTCCCAGCATGCCGATGATGTGCCCAATCATATATCCCATCAAATCTCAATCACCATTTTTCCTATAAGGTTACCATTAAATCAAAATTTTTCCCCAAACAGTGTACGTGGGAAGCAGCCGTTAAACTAATTCAAGTGATTCGCGATGCCGATCTTCCGAAGAACAGCTTGCAAGAAGCATGCATCAAGTACTGTATGCTATCGGCATGGAATTGACTTGTAAGTTAGCACCTCGAAGCATGCACCAAGTCATTGGTATAGGCGCGGCCTTGTGTGCTTGACTTGCTTCTCATCCCGAGGTTTTGCCGCGTTTGAAACTTTTTGAAGTCCTGGCGAACCTCCAAGAAGCATTGACTTTCTGTATTCACCGTATACCCCATATTCCGAAAGCGCTAGCTATGTGGGCTTTGAGCTTGATTCATGTTTTGTTGCTTTCACGTTTTTCAGCCCCAACGCTTGAGTCTCGCAAGTGGCGCAACAGATTATTTTTTTTGAATGTGAACCCAGAGACTCATCCTCAATATCATCATCCTCAACATCATCGTCCGCAGCATCATCATCACCATCATCATCATCATCATCATCATCACCATTATCCTACATTATCCTCCCACTGCCCCCCCACTGTTGGGGGTCTCTTGCCGGGGTAATTCCGATTTTGACATGTCATTGAAATCAGCATATTTCCCAGGACATTTCCATAGATATAGCCCAATTTAAACTTTCTCATTCGGAGTTGGGAGATCAGGATGCCAAGTTCAAAACCTTCGGCTGCGGTTCCGCCATCGCCAGCTCCTCCTATGCTGGGTGTCCTGGGGGGTCCTGGGGCCCTACTGAGGACGTCGGGTTAACCTTGGAATCTTGGAATCCCTGGGGAATCTGGGAATTGGCCATGAAATAACCATGAAATCATGAAACAAAATAGAGAAATATGGAGAACAGTGGACAAACATGGAGAAAATGATGATTTGTTTAAATGATTTATGGGATTGAGCCTCTCCTAAGTTTGTTACCGTTTGCTATGGGCAATCACCATTCTAATAGGCAAATCATCTATAAATGGGCGATGTTCCTTAACTCTGTTCCAAAAACCACAGGGTAGTTGGTAATTATATCTATGTGCCAAATGACAAACAAATCATTAGGGAAAACCCAATAGAATCCCAGAATAGAACAGGATAATGAAATATCCAAGTTAAATTCTTTATGCCAGCTGATGTAGGAATATGTTTAAAGTCCAAAACACAAATTTTCATGAACCATATCAAACCTTAGAAAAAATAGTTTGTTTTTATTGTTTATCATTCATCATCATTTATATAATGCTGAAATTCCGTGGGTTCTCAATCATTTCAAGAAGATACGTGGCCGAGGCGACGGAAATGATTATCGGCCAACCTGTGGACGAGGACGGTCACTTGTGGTCACTTACTGACCATCCCCTGGTTCTTCAGTGACCTGATTCGTGTGGGGTTACCCGATACGCCAGTTACATATCAGGGTAAATAGAATGGGCTAACGCCCTGGTGCCGCCGACCCCCTTTCAAGGGCGCCCCGGTCACTACTCCGGTACTCCTTGCCAGTGCCAGTGCCATGGGTGGGAAGGTTGTCCCACCAACAGGTTCTGTCTTTACAATTCGACTTATCCAGGTCTGTTAAAGTTAAAGGGCAGGCTGCAATGCTGGAACGCTGACGGCCAGGAAAGAGCAGCAACCCTGGAGCAGCAAAGGCTGACGGCCAGGCTTGGTGGAAGCTGCCGCGGAGGGTTTTAGGCATTTGAAGCCTGGCAAACGGCAGGCTCGAATGCCCTAACAAGAGAAGGCTGTGCAGGCAAAGGGCAGGCTGCAATGCTGGAACGCTGACGGCCAGGTATAAGAGCAGCAACCCTGGAGCAGCAAAGGCTGACGGCCAGGCTTGGTGGAAGCTGCCGCGGAGGGTTTTAGGGGTTTGAAGCCTGGCAAACGGCAGGCTCGAATGCCCTAACAAGAGAAGGCTGTGCAGGCAAAGGGCAGGCTGCAATGCTGGAACGCTGACGGCCAGGAAAGAGCAGCAACCCTGGAGCAGCAAAGGCTGACGGCCAGGCTTGGTGGAAGCTGCCGCGGAGGGTTTTAGGCATTTGAAGCCTGGCAAACGGCAGGCTCGAATGCCCTAACAAGAGAAGGCTGTGCAGGCAAAGGGCAGGCTGCAATGCTGGAACGCTGACGGCCAGGAAAGAGCAGCAACCCTGGAGCAGCAAAGGCTGACGGCCAGGCTTGGTGGAAGCTGCCGCGGAGGGTTTTAGGGGTTTTAGGGGTTTGAAGCCTGGCAAACGGCAGGCTCGAATGCCCTAACAAGAGAAAGCTGTGCAGGCAAAGGGCAGGCTGCAATGCTGGAACGCTGACGGCCAGGAAAGAGCAGCAACCCTGGAGCAGCAAAGGCTGACGGCCAGGCTTGGTGGAAGCTGCCGCGGAGGGTTTTAGGGGTTTGAAGCCTGGCAAACGGCAGGCTCGAATGCCCTAACAAGAGAAGGCTGTGCAGGCAAAGGGCAGGCTGCAATGCTGGAACGCTGACGGCCAGGAAATAGCAGCAACCCTGGAGCAGCAAAGGCTGACGGCCAGGCTTGGCGGAAGCTGCCGCGGAGGGTTTTAGGGGTTTGAAGCCTGGCAAACGGCAGGCTCGAATGCCCTAACAAGAGAAGGCTGTGCAGGCAAAGGGCAGGCTGCAATGCTGGAACGCTGACGGCCAGGAAAGAGCAGCAACCCTGGAGCAGCAAAGGCTGACGGCCAGGCTTGGTGGAAGCTGCCGCGGAGGGTTTTAGGCATTTGAAGCCTGGCAAACGGCAGGCTCGAATGCCCTAACAAGTTGTGCAGGCAAAGGGCAGGCTGCAATGCTGGAACGCTGACGGCCAGGAAAGAGCAGCAACCGCAGCAAAGGCTGACGGCCAGGCTTGGTGGAAGCTGCCGCGGAGGGTTTTAGGGGTTTGAAGCCTGGCAAACGGCAGGCTCGAATGCCCTAACAAGAGAAGGCTGTGCAGGCAAAGGGCAGGCTGCAATGCTGGAACGCTGACGGCCAGGAAAGAGCAGCAACCCTGGAGCAGCAAAGGCTGACGGCCAGGCTTGGTGGAAGCTGCCGCGGAGGGTTTTAGGGGTTTGAAGCCTGGCAAACGGCATGCTCTAATGCCCTAACAAGAGAAGGCTGCAATGCTGGAACGCTGACGGCCAGGAAAGAGCAGCAACCCTGGAGCAGCAAAGGCTGACGGCCAGGCTTGGTGGAAGCTGCCGCGGAGGGTTTTAGGGGTTTGAAGCCTGGCAAACGGCAGGCTCGAACGCCCTAACAAGAGAAGGCTGTGCAGGCAAAGGGCAGGCTGCAATGCTGGAACGCTGACGGCCAGGAAAGAGCAGCAACCCTGGAGCAGCAAAGGCTGACGGCCAGGCTTGGTGGAAGCTGCCGCGGAGGGTTTTAGGGGTTTGAAGCCTGGCAAACGGCAGGCGAATGCCCTAACAAGAGAAAGCTGTGCAGGCAAAGGGCAGGCTGCAATGCTGGAACGCTGACGGCCAGGTATAAGAGCAGCAACCCTGGAGCCGCAAAGGCTGACGGCCAGGCTTGGTGGAAGCTGCCGCGGAGGGTTTTAGGGGTTTGAAGCCTGGCAAACGGCAGGCTCGAATGCCCTAACAAGAGAAGGCTGTGCAGGCAAAGGGCAGGCTGCAATGCTGGAAAGCTGACGGCCAGGAAAGAGCAGAAACACTGGAGCAGCAAGGCTTTGACAGCCAGGCTTGGTGGAAGCTGCCGAGGGGGGTTTTAGAAGCAAC